AGAAAATGAGCTCAACCAGCGAATGTAATCCCAATTATGTAGGCGTAACCAAAATTAAGGGGCAATTGAGAGGGATATTTGTGACTAGACATGGGTCGAGCTAGTTTGGTAACTTCGGTTGAGGTCTTAACTGCCACACGCTCGACCGGGGTCTTGGCACGACCAAATGTTGGATACGCATCAGTTCGAGATATTAACCCGATTAGGTTTAGGATGGGAGTTTGAGGTTCTAGCCCGGTTTGGAGATGTAAATCTCACCAAGAGTTGGACGGAATCTATCCATGGTGGACCATGTTTGGCCAAGCAGGAGCTTATTGTGAACTTGCCAACTCAATTGAGCTGACATTTAGGTCTATTTGTTAGGGCCGGGCAAGTAGCGTAGTCCTGGGGGAAGATTGTGATGCCGCGCTAGGCACAGCTTGGTAAGAAGTATCACATGGCATGATTGGATTGTAGGAAGGAGATTTCGCCATCTGTACGGGTAAATACCGTTAGGCGGTTTCACTATTTGGTGTTTGGCAGTATTTATGCTTACACGTGAAAGAAGAAAAGAGAGTGGACAGAGAGGTGTGCGCAGAAACTATATAAACGGTGCAACGCCTCCATACAGAGGTCTGGAACCCTTACACACTGCGATCTTCTGGTTATCAAAGCTCTCTCTCTTTTGTCTTATCTCTTTCTAAAACTGTGTTACCTTGACCCTCGGAGGGGTATCTTGGCCATTATCCACTCGGTAGCTCATCGTCTTTGTGTTTTCAGGTTATTCTAAGTGAAGAGAAGCTTGGACACGAGGAGTACAAAAAGCGACAAATATTTGCTCCCCGTACATATATAAATATACATACATATACATACATTCGAAAGCTAAATACTTGTATATTAGACAATAAGGAGGAGAGAGAAAGAGAAAGAGTTCTGTGTCGCTAATCGGACAGCTCCAGATCTGCCTTGTTGTTGGGGCATGCCGATGGAACCTTGTTGAGGATCAACTCTAACCCTTAATTCAGATCTCCGCAGTAGAGAATGTATTGATGGAGAAGGGAGGCGATGCGAGGTGGGGATGACATCTAGACTACCCGTACGGTACCGAAGCAGAGGTGATGATAGGAGTGAACCATGAGAGAGACATCGATTGGAGTGTTTGCAGAAGGGAATATATGTGATAACCCTGTTCCGTATTACGCTAATTGGTCCTTATTATGAATGTGATTATGTGTTTGATATGATTTTGTGTACCATTTATGTGAAAATATGTGGTTTTGAATTTCTATCTGTTCATTGTAGGAATATCTATTTGATTATCTGCTTTGGAATTTCAATTGAAGGCCTTATCGGCCACAAAACCTGAAATTGACTGCGCCATTATAATTGGCGTAATTTTTAGAGCCTATGGTGAAATTTAATTGAAAATTGATTCGGATCAAAATAATTAGATTCAGAACTATTAATTAAGTTTTGTTATTTAACTCTAATCAATGTGATTAGTGAGGGACTATAAAAGGAGGACTATTATGCTTATATTCATCTTTTTGAGCTCAAAACCGAAAATTGCTCCAAGGAAAGGAAGTGAGGGTCGGCTAGAAAGAGAGAGAGGGAGACAATTGAAGTTTTGGTCTTGAGCTAGAATAAATTGAAGGCCAACTCAAGGATTAAGCATAAGTTTGGGAGATTAAAGCTCCTAGGTGAGTAATCAACCCTTAACTCATGAATTTGAGTTGTGATTTTATGAATTGAAGATTAAATAGTGATCTAGAACATGAAATGAGTTGGTTTTGATGAATTTGAAGTCCATATGTGCATGCATGTAGAGAATTCTTATGAAATTACATAATCTAGCATGTAGTATGTGAATTATGAAAGATTGTGAGTTGAATCATACATACAAGCATGTTTATGTTGAATTCCATGAGAATGAACACCATTTGCATCATTTGAAATAGAAATGAAGTCAAAATTCGCATGCATGTTTGAATATTAAAGATATGGAGCTTGTATGAGGTTTGAAGACATGAGTTTGAATTATACAAAAGAAATGTTGATTAATTTTGAAGATTGGGCCATGATTTCTAGCAATTGGCTCAATATTGTTTGTGTGCTCATTCTATATATTGTGTTTCTCCATTTTGGTACCTTAATTCGAGCTTTGGAGCCTTTGAATGTCGAAATTGAACTCAAGAACAAGTTCTGGAAAACTCAGAATTCTTGAAGTCCGCTTGAGCGCCCGCTCGAGCTTAAAATACGGGCTTCCAGAACTTTTTGCAGACATGGTGTCCGCTCGAGCGGGGAAGTTCACGCTCGAACGGGGAGCTGTGTAGGTTGACCTTCCGCTCGAGCGTCTGAGTTCACGCTCGAGCGCGAAAATGAAATAACCAGTACTTTTGTAGACCTCTTGGGTCCGCTCGAGCGGGGAAGTCCACGCTCGAGCGGGGACCCCTGTTTCTAAAATTTTGAAAATGCATTCTGTGTTTCGTTTTCCATTCTCTTTCACTTCCAAGCACTCTTAGGCATGCATTGGGCATTATGAATGAATTAAAAGAATAAGAATGATGCCTAAAGAGGGATATGTGAATTAAGAACGGATTGAATTGTTTGTGACCCGTTGTGTTCATGTAACGTGTAGGGTCAAGCTCCAGGGCAAACCACCCAGCCGATCACTGTGAGTAATATCTTATTAAAGATATCTGAAGTATGATATTTGTCCAATTGTTTACTCCTATGTAAGCCTTATAAGTTTATTTATTTGGATGGTGGACAAATGTTTGCTATGCCAAATAAATGGGCCAGCGACCAGTTTGACATGCATGAATGAATGGGCCAGAGGCCAGTATGATCTGAATGATGGAACGAATGGGCCAAATGCCAGTTTGACAGGAAAGAATGAATGAGCCAGAGACCAGTATGATTTGAATGATAGAATGAATGGGCCAAAGGCCAGTTTGACATAAAAGTATGAATGGGCCAAAGGCTAGTTTGACATGAATGAAAGACAAGTGGGTCAAAGGCCAGTTTGACATGAATGAAAGATAATTTGACATGAATGAAAGATAAGTGGGCCAAAGGCCAGTTTGACATGAATAGATTGGGCCCGAGGCCGTCCGATGTGTTTGGAATCGCAGTTATTTGACCTACATATGAGTATATATATGTATTAGATAGAAATATGAATTGGGCCTAAGGTCGTTTGATGTATATTGTTCCAATGTATCTTCTTTATTTGATATTATTCACTGGGCTTTCGCTCACGCTCATTCATGTGTTTGTAGGTGAGCCTAGAGAGGTCCAAACCCAACCTCAGTGAAGCTTGTGTGGAATAACCAAGATTTTGAAGAGTCAGCATTTGCGTCTCACGCACAAGACACGCCTTCGCCCTATGCTATTTTGTATTATTTTGTTATGTTGGTGAGGACTTTAATTTATGTTTGTACATAGTTTGGATTGGTTGACCTAGACTGGAATGATCCTGTCTGTATAGAACTTTATGTTACTGTATTTTCTGACGTGAGTTATTAATATGTGTATGTATGGTTTGTGATGAGGTGCCATGTAAGCACAGCGCTATGGACAGTTCATTTGAATTTTGCTTCCGTTTGGCCCCTTTACTCTGATGAGTTATGTCTGGCTTGGTTTGAGGCCGTAGGTAATCTCTTGATTACTGGCCGGTTATGCCCTTAACCCATGGGGGCGTGTTTGGGTCATAACAATATGAGAGTGAGAGTTAGAGTTAGCAATTTATCTTGGGAAAATGAGAATGAAGATTTCAAAAATGGAGAATGAGAGGGCGGTGAAGGTGGTAGGGGGGTTGGTGGCAGTGACGGCAATAAAATACGGTAGACTGCGACAGTGAGACGAGGCAGTGGACGGCGAAGGCGAGGCTAGGAGAGAGATAGAAGAGAGAGAGAAAGGAAAAGATAGTTGATTTTCATGTTTTGATTTGTGTATATCATATATATATATATATATATACAGGATATTTTGATCATTTTATTTAAATTTATCTTTTTAGATAAATTATTTTAAACCCTGACCCTTTGAATAAATAAAATTATAACCGACTCCGATTCGTAGCTCGATTTCGGAGGCTCGAATTTGGCTCAAATTCGGAGAAGAAAAAGAAGAGAAGAAGAAGAAGGAGGAGGAAGAATGAGAACTGGAGGGAAGGGGGCCATCAAAATCGGGCTGGTGGAGGCGGGGCTACGCAGGGCTGCGACGATCGGAGCTGCTGCAACAATCGGAGATGCTGCGACGATCGGCGGAGGCGGAGGCGGAGGCATAGGAGGGGCCCTTCTCTCCTCTCCTCTTTCTTTCTTCCTTTCTCCTCCTCTTCCCCTCTGTTCTTCTCCTGTGTTCAACAAAGAAGAAGAAGAAAAGAAAGAAAGAAAAGGAAGAGAAAGAAAAGGAAGAAAAAGAAAAAGAAAGAAAGAAAAAAAAAGAATCGCAAAACGACGCCGTTTTGCGATTCGAGCAAAAATCGGGCCACTTTTTTCGAGTTACCAGTCATTTTTCAATTATAACAGTCCTTCAGGTAGCTCAAATAGTTATAGCTCAACTGGCTCGAATTTCAAAACGACGTTGTTTTGTCAAAAAAAATTCCCTCTCTTTTCTCTCAAACAAAGAGGCCAAAGAAGAAAGATGAAGGAAGACAGAAGAAAGAGAGAAGAGGGAGGAGAACAGAGAAAGAGGGGGAACAGAGCCGGAACTCCATCCACCCACCGGCGATGGACTTCCGCTCGAGCGTCCAAGTTTCACGCTCGAGCGTAAAAATGACATAACCAGTACTTTTGCAGACCTCATAGGTCCGCTCGAGTGGGGAAGTACACGCTCGAGCGGGGACCCTGTTTTTGAGAATTTTGTGTGATCGTTCTACGTTTCATGTTCCGTTCCCTTTCACTTCTGAGCACTCTTAGGCATACATTGGGCATTGTAATTGAATTAAAGAGATAAGAATGAAGCCTAAAGAGGAATATGTGAATTAAAGAACGGCATTTGGGAAATGAAACTCCATCAGTAAGGTGTAGGACAGATTAGGTTTGGCTGCTGCAGGACACTTTCACCAAATGCATATATATCTGGTGGAAGAGATGTATACAATTTTAGTGCAATCCTAGTGCACAAATATTTCCATGATACTGTATTTCCTTTCTTAGATGAACAGTTATGGAATGAGTGAAGTATACATGGAGGACTCAATATGTTAAAAGAGTCTTAGAGAAAATAACTTTGATAACTATTCGTGCTTTGAAGGATCAATTTATGCCGAGTCATATTGCTGAATCTGCACTAACATTAACGGGGTCTGTTTTAGATTTATCTAAGACACGCTAAGAAATTCAGGAGTGGTTAAGGATAAATATAGAAGATTTAAGGGGTTTATGGGATAAAATTTTCTGTTTTGTATATTTTTGGGCTTCATTCGACCCCCTCTTTCAAGGAGACTTCTTTATTTTTTATTGTTAGATATTGGAAAGCTGTGTGTGATATGTAATCTTTTGGTTTTTTTTCTTGCTTTTAGCTTGTGCTTGGTGGACTTCTTGGCCACTTGTTCTCTGTTGAACTTCCTTTAATACATTCTCTTTGTTATTGATTAAAAGGTAATTATTTCTAATTTAGTATTAAAAGAAGTATTACAGAGAACAAATGGGCAAGATAGATTTATTTATGTTTTATTAAATTTTAGTAGTTAAGGGTAATTTGGTTAATTTTAAATTATGAACTGTTAGGGAATGGGCCCAACATGTATATGATGATCTTACAGATTTGTATTAGTCATTGAACTTGTAATTTTTTGAGACTTGTATTTCAGTTTCCCGGTCTTCATATAGGATCATGAAAGGAGGCAAGCCATAACTGCAGCAGGTTTAGGATGCATTGCTGCTTTATCAGTTGAGAGATATCTTGCGAGCAATAATCTCCTTGTTGAATTTCACCAGGTATTTTTAATCCTGATTGCATTCCATTTCATCTGTTCAACTTCCCTCTTCAATCTATATCTGTGATTAATTTTGTGGTGGATTCTTGTGAGGTTAAAAGAGAATTAGGGCAGCATGTGGTGCGTTGTGTGAAAACTTAGACAAGACCAATGTGCGTAATGATGGATCCAGCAGTTGAGGCTGTTAGATGGTTCCAACTGCCCTGGTCCTTGAACTAGTCAAGTTTGGTGGTTGCATAACTCTGAAAACTATTGAAACCCTTTTTATTCTCTCTTTCTACCTACTTTATTTTTTTTGAAGTATTTGAAGACAGTTGGAACCTCTAGTTAGATTGATGACCCATTTAACATGTTCATGGTTTCGCTTGACCAGGTGGTGTTTTTCACCCCTTATACAAAGCTTTATTGAGGGGCTAAATCTCTCCTTTTTGTTTTATCACTTTACAAAAACACAGCTCCCAGAACCTTACTATCATACCCGTTATTATAGGTAAAAGAATCTGCAAGATTACATCAAGTAATGCAGACGATTCTCACTATAGGATATGCATTGAACCAAGGCACTGCTTGAGGTATTATTCTGTGAGATTGAAGTATGTTATGATCTGTAATATTTTGTTTGGTGGAAAGCTTTTGGCATTGATGTCCTCATTTGTATTTCAGGATCTGCCATAGGATTCAAATTGGACAGCCTACTTAAGTTGTCTGATGCTCGTGCAAGGAACAATAAAATGACATTGATGCATTAGCGACCTCAGGAACTTGATTTATGCCCAGGAGTAGGCATACAATGTTTTCTGTAAAAGAGAAAAATTTAGAAATATGCTTGAAAGGAAAAATGCTGACTCTTCTTTTTGTAAAGGAATTGTTGGATCTTCATAGATGTACATAATTCTAGTTTCATGACAAAACTAGTGTATGTTTGTTGGCAGTGATGCTGAGATATAAAATAAAGGGGATTTGCCAATACTGAAATTTTAATCTTAGTGGAAAATTCAGCAGTAAATTTGGTTTGATTTTCTTTTGTTAAAATCTGCAAGTTCTTGCTTAGTTAAGTATACCGACACATTTATCTTGCAGGGAAGAAGTGCAGATTCATTGTCTCAGTATTTTGGGGATCCAGCCAGGTGCCCTTTTGAACAAGGTTTGGTTTTATTTTCCACATTTATGTACTTAATTTTCTGTTGCTGTCAAGTAAGGAAGTTCACTACATTTCTTTTCTATTTGATCTGCCACATTGATTATGTTAGAGATGTATCTGTATGTAGGTTAGATTAGATGATGGAAGTGAAAATGCTTACATTTCAAGGTAGCCCTCAACATGATCCTGCTCACATTATAGTAACATAATGTAAATAACGAAAGGATTTTTAAAGTGACCATAGTGTATAGCAGAACAGCCAATAGTAGACACAGAAGAGAGTTAGAAGAGAGGAAGTATCACCAGCCTCAATAAATCTCCATGTTTTTTGTCCTCTGCTTCAATGGCTCTGTCCAATATACCTCCAACTGTGTGACTGGTAATGCAGAAACAGCAGATTATAGCATTTAGCATGTCTAAAACTGTACTCTATGATTGTTAATCTACAAGGACAATACAGTAAGATTAATTTCCAAATGTGTGATGTATATTCATGGAATTTGAAGAGACCGTGTTCAGTGAATAAAGTAAGGTTACAGTATATTCTTAGTTTGGTACTCTTTACACTTGTTGGATTGACATAAAAACACAAATTTGGCACCTTGATTTGCGAACTTTAGCTTTAAAGCATCATCATCATTATCATGACCTTGGCTTTCAGGTGGAAGTTACAGTAGCATCCAGTTTAGTTGGCGAACACGAACTAGAATTTGCATTGGGATTGCACGGGGACTTGCCATTCTTCATGAGGAAGTGCGACCACATATCGTTCATCGAGATATCAAAGCTAGCAATATTCTCCTCGACAAAGACTTGACACCCAAAATTTCAGATTTTGGTCTACCAAAACTTATCCCAGCCAACATGACTCATGTCAGTACCCGTGTGGCAGGAACGATGTAAGTTCTAACAATAATGCATCATTTTTTTAATCCATCTAATCATAAGAGTTCATTTTCATTACGTTCTTAGAGAAATTACTAAAAACATACATTGCATTTGTACTCGAGATAGTGACTTGCACAAGATGGGTTATTGGTTTGATATCAAATAATCCCCAGTCATGCACATG